GGCCAATTCAACATCAGAGTAAACTTTCAGGCAAAGTGCACAAGACTTACTCCCTCTTGCTTGACGAAAGTGCCTCTAATTTTGAGGCAGTAAAAATACGATTTTAAGTGCTTAGTGCCAGAGGTGTGCTGCCAAATCTTCCATACCCACAGGTTTGCCTGACGAGAAGTACCTGGAATTTGAAAAGCTTAGCAGCTTGCTTTTCACCAGTGGCAATGAGCACTTCAAACAGAAGCCACTTACAAAAATCCATGAAATACGACAACTAAAGGATTCTATCTCACCATGAATATCCATAGAATCATAAAATCCTTACAGTGTGGAAGCAAGCCATTCAGCCCATCAAGTCCACTCCAACCCTCTGAAGACCATCCCACCTAGTCCCACCCCATCCCTGTAACTCTACGTTTTCCATGACTAATCTACCCAGCCTGCACATCTTTGGACCCTGGGAGGAAACCAGAGCATCCAGAGGAAACCCACGCAGACACAGAGAGAATATGCAAACTCCACACAGACAATTGCCCAAGGGTGGGATTGAACCCGCGTCCCTGCTGCGAACTACTGTGCCACCACGCCACTGCAGTGGAATTAAATCACGGTCGAAAGGAATCAGAACTACTGAATGTCAAACGACCTGCAAAACTAGGGATCTTAAAACTGAATGTTCAACTATCAATGCCAACACTATTGATCACCTCTGCTGCAATAGCCATAATGTTAAATTATTCACCATTTGCAAACAGTTCACAGGCAGATCCATATATTAGTTTATTTTGTTTCAATCCTTTTGCACTCTCCTTTTAATTATAATCTGTGTTTATATGTGTCACATTAATACTTCTTCTCCCATGTAGTAACCTGTGGCTGAGCTTGTTCATATGTGATTCCGTTAATTTCATGATTGAGGCCTTATTTAAATAAACTTGAAGAGCAGTCAACGTTGGACACATTCTAGTCAGGCAGGGAGTTGATCGGTGGAAGTGAGATTGTGAAAAAATTTGTGACTCTTTGACGGAGAGAGAGATTGCCATCTCTAGTATTCCCATCATGTCTGATAACTCAATACCCAATTGCACAAACCAGGACTCAGCAAATTTTGTAATTTTCTTTCCTTACTAACTCCGCTACACTTGTGTAAATAATTATATTCTGACATCGCCCCAAATTACCTACCTCTAAACAAAAGTGAACAACCAGTGAATGAAAGTGTTTTACAGCGAATTAAGTATTTTTAAAGAGTAAGGAAGCAAGCCAGCCAATTTACACACATATAGCTATATTCCAATATTGGTTTTGTAATTCCTATTATTTCATTTCTGTTTACTTATTTCCCCATGCTTCATGGCCTTGGGCTTTCCTCTCTATCTGCTTGTATGAGCCTCACATTTTCAATTTCAAGTTGTCCACCACCATCATTCTTTCTCCCCTGTCGTCCAACTCTTTCTAATCTTCCTTCAATCATCTCCTTCAGCAAGTTGTCAAACCTTAGAATATGGCCATTTTAATCTTGTTGCCTTTTCTTGATGACCTCCAATAATTAATCTTTCCATTTCCACTATTCTAAGAGCATCTTTATTGCTCTTGTCTTCTCTCCTGCTGACCAGCTATATCCTCCTCCAGAAGCACATTTCTCATAGAGTTATAGAGATGTACAGCACAGAACCAGACCCTTTGGTCCAACTCAACCATGCCGACTAGATATCCTGAATGGATCTAGTCCCATTTGCCAGCATTTGGCCCATATCTTTCTAAACCCATCTTAATCATACACCCATCTAGATGCCTTATAAATGTTGTAATTGTACCAGCCTCCACCACTTCCTCTGGCATTCTATAGGCGCAGCACCCTCTGTGTGAAAATGTTGCCCCTTAAGGTCCCTTTTAAAACTTTCTCCTCTCACCTTAAACCGATGACCTCTAATTTTGGACTCCCTTACCTTGGGGAAAAGACCTTGACTACTTACCCTATCCATGTCCCCATGATTTTATAAATTTGTATAAGATCACCCCCCAGCCTCCGACACTCCAGGGAAAATAGCCCCAGCCTATTCAGTCCCTCCCTATAGCTCAAACCCTCCAACACCTGCAACATCCTAGTAAATCTTTTCTGAACCCTTTCAAGTTTCCTGTTGTTCAGTGTCCACTTTTCCACAGATCCATATTTCAACCTGTACAAAAAAATTACTCCAAATCACAGTTTTGTGATGAGAATTCAAAAAAATGAATGAAGCATAAAGAACACTAGCAAGAGTGGGAGAGTGATAGTGTTCTTCCATCTGGACCAGAAGGTTTGGGTTCAAGGCTAAACTGTCCTAAAGATGTGTCATAACACATCTGAACAGGATATTGAAAAATACCTATGTGACAGGAATACATTTCTACAGTGGAAACCTTGAAAAAAGCTCTTGTGACACAGTGCTAGTGTCTCTACCTCTGGGCCAGAAGATTTGGATTCAAGTCCCACCTGCCCCAGGCATGAATCATAATTTGTTCTAAATAGGTTAATTAAAAATATCTAAAACACCAGCAAGAAGTGTACATCGGCTTTCTGGACAATGATAAAGGTTTTGACTGAGTGAATGGACAAGAAGCCATTTGAATTGCTCGAAGCAATAAGAGTTGATTGGAGAGATAAAAGATTACAGCTCTCTATGTGGAATAGATTACTGTTATTTGGGCATCTTTTGATGAAAATAAACTTGCTGTAGTCTTGAGTGCTGCTAGGGAAGGTTGCCTACACCATTATGCTTTAATACTCATGTGGAAGACATGGTGAAAAAGGCACTCAAAAAAGTTTAGAAAGTTGGCAGGGTAGGAAGTCAATTGTTGAATGTAATGGAATTTGTAGGTGACCAGGTAATAGTGGTTGGCACAGAAGAGGACTTATTGGTATTAATTGACAGAATGAATGAGGTGGTGAAAGCTTTTGAAATGAAAAATTGATGTGAAGAAACAAGTTATGAATTTTAAAAGCAATAACAGTAGGAAGGTAGAGGCCTGGATAAATGGTCAAAGCTGAAGCAACCAGTCCAGTTTAAGTACCTAGGGACCATCAGAACAATAGGTGATTACTGTCAGAAATAAATCAGAGCTGGAGTAGCAATGGCAAAGAATGTGCTCTCCAAACATAAAGAGTTGCTCAGCATAAGAAAAATCGAAAATTGCTGTTGACGAAATACTCCAGGGAAAACGGATTTTGGAACAGTAACTAAGTAGACTTTTATTCTTGCTACGCAATACCCACAAAGCTAGATAAAGCAAGAGCTCTTCAACCTTTGCAGAGAGAACTAAACAGAAATTATGTATTCTGTGGAGGAGCTGAAATTCTACAATTGGCAAGAACAGCTAGAAAGGCAATCACATGTGACTGCTGAGAAAAAAAATCAAGTGGAGAAGGATGGGGGTGGTGAGGAATGACTTGGAATGAAATTTTATATTTTGTGATGTATTATAGATGCTGCTGTTTTATTGATTTATCTTCCTGAGTTCTACCATCACATGGAAATTAATTAATTTGAATTGTATGTGTTTCATAAGAGCCCAGCCAATGTTTTCATTTGGAGGAATGTTCTGAATAATGCAGCTAAATTAATTTTCTCATAAAAGCAAGATATATTTCCGAAGTCAGTAAGCATACAAATAACAGCAACTTGCATTTTTATAGCACATTTGATGAAGTAAAACATCCAAGGTGCTTTATGGAAAGTGATTCAAACAAATTTTATCTCTGAGGTGTCTGAGAAAATATTAGGTCAACTCACCAATAGATTGGTCAAAAGAAGCTAAGTTTGAAGGAGCACTTTAAAGTAGGAGGGAGAGGTACAATGAAGAGGAGTCTTGGAGAGGCAGTCCCAGAGGTTAGGAAGTTGGCAGATGAAGATGTAATCACCGAGGTAGAGAATTTTAACATTGCATTCTTGCGGGTGTGGTACCAATGTCGGTCAATGTGCACAAGGATGATGAGTGAATGAGACTTAGTGAGTGCCAGGATGTGGGTAGCAGAGGTTTTTGGTGAACTCATGTTTGTGCAGAATTAGAGATAACAATGGCAAAGATGAACATTTCAGCAGTTCAATATTTCCTTCATTATGTAAATCCACACAGTAAAGTCTCCACCTACACTTTACCACTCTGTGACGATACTATGTTGTTATGCTGCATTGCCAGACTGGGCTATTACACTGTTGTTTGGATTACAAAGCAATCTATTTGTAAAACAAGTTCTGAATGGCATATTTTAGCACCCAGAAAGGGACCTATCCAAGAATTAGGACTTGGATCTCTAATAGATATCAAGACAATTAGACAGAAATAAATCATTAATTTTACAACTTGATTCTCTTGGTTTTCTCTAAGCTGTTCATCAGGAAATGAAACTGTTCAAAAAATGTGATATCATGTAAACCAATAGCTTTACTTGGCTGTCTTGAACAACATTTTGTACATTTACTGGCAAAATTACAAATGCCGGATCAGGGGCAGTTTTAATGTCTGACTTCTTTCTTAAATTGTTAATTTCGTAAAATGCATAAAATATATCAAATAACAATTCCAGTTTGTACTGTTCTGCGAAGATTAGCAACATACAGCTGTAGTTTTATCTATTTGTATACTCCAACCTCCTAACAAAGGTAGGCTCATGAAAAGGGAATATGTGACATTTCCAATAAACTGAAGTACAGGGAAAGGTGTTGACCTGAACTAATTAACATTCACGGCAATGTTAAATGTGCAATGTAGACATGCTCTTTGAACAATGGCTCAGTAAATGAAGTGATCTTTGATGTTGAGCATGAAGAAAGCATCAGAGGCAAAAGTGCCAAAATGATTTCCAGAAGTTCTGCATTTACTACAACACGAACAAATAATGGATGGATCTGTCAGTAATTTCAGCTGGGACATTCTGAATTTGTGTGCTTATTAAAAAGACTCAACAATGACTAGCGTTTGAGCTAAATTGTGATTTCTGAGAAAATCTTTTGATTTTCCCTCTCCAGGAACACATTATGGAGGTGATCAAAAATCAGGAATTTCTGCTACTTCCGGCAGACGACATTCTTAAACTTATTGTAAGTGATGATGTGAATGTTCCAGATGAAGAGACAATATTCCATGCCTTGATGCTGTGGGTGAAATATGACATTCAAAGAAGATGCAGGGACCTTGGAAGACTACTTGCTTATGTCAGATTACCATTGCTACCACCACAGGTAAATTGAACACAGTTTTAAACGTTTTTATTTCCCTTTCTCATCTCGCATTTTAATTTTCCTATACACTTTAATTTCCTATCACTAAAGATTAAGATGCTCAAGTCATTTGCTTTTAGTTACAGTGAATAAGAATGTCAAGACATTCTGTCTGTTCCCATTTACTCCCCAAGTAAACCCCATCCCACCATCACCTGTACCTTCATCTCAACGAAGATGTTTAATATCATACTGTGCTCCAGCTAATGGCCATGGATGTTATATTCGAGCTTGTCAACTATTAATTATCTATTTGATTTACATGACTCTAAATAATGTTCAAACTAGTCAAAGCGATTTGCCATTTGATTTAATTGCATTTCCACATCAAGCGGTCAGCTTACGATATTCACCAACACCTTAAACTTACAATCCAAATTCCTTGCAAGGCTTTTGCCCTATTCTGTAGGAAACCAGAGCAGAAAATTGCCTTCAGCCATCTGCTGGAGTCCCCGAAAAGAATCAATTGAAATCAATTTGGACAAGATCCATCAACTTCAGGTGCACCTTCAACTGAAATGGAATATCCTAGCTTTGGCTTCACCTAATTCAAATACATCAAACTTCTTGAAAACAATAATAACATCTTCACTCGGAGACTAGATTACATGATATCATGAGTAGGTTCGCAGACAATGTCTGAGAACTATAATTGAGTGAAGGCACAGAACCAGGTGTTGTGGGTCAGGTATGGGATTTTGGTTTACAATCAGTTATTTCCTGATTTTTAAGAGGTTCAAATCACCCCCAGATCTCTGCTTTTAGTCACTGGGCTTACAAAGGGAATGTGAAATGAAGAAGGCAGTAGACAGGTGTTTCAGGGCAAAAGAACCTCTGTGTTTATTCACAACACAAAGTGTAGGTATAACATAAGAAACATAGGTAAATGTAATAAACAGGGAAATTGACACAATCAACTTAACAGAGGACAGTAATACTATTAAATACACTACTAGCTGGATTAAATGCTGTTAGAACCTTAAAAGCAACAGCTTTAATCACAGAAACCTTAATCAGGCTTCCTACCCTTGTGGTCCCAATGCACTGTCACCACATGCCTTCCCCTCCATGCTAGCTAGGTTGGAATTTTGGGATCTCAGGAGTGTCATCTCACTACTGAGGAAAAACACGATTTTGAAATATGCCTGGCTGTTCCTGCTTGCCATAAACCAGACCCTAGATTAACACTTTGGACTGCATAGGCTTGTCAGTTTAAGTTGAGTCCGAAGATGAGGGTAGTGGATCTATCGGGTAAGTACTTGGTTTTCTTTACTTTCTGCTGGTTTTATGGGCCCTGTTTTCATCTCAGGCTATGTCTAAGGCCTTGTTGTATTGGTCAGGTTGGTTGGTTTTCAGAATTTGTCAGTTCTTGGAACTGCTGGTCGGGTCAGTTGCCATTGGTTCCCCTGTTTCGGAACAGGGCTGCGTCTGGTAGCTCTTACTTGGAAGCTCTCGGATAGTTCTTCAATACTCTCAATTGTTCTTGGGATTGCTGTTGGAAATAACTCTTGGGATTGCTCTTGGAAATAGCCGCCGGATTTGCAGTTGGAATACTCTCTCGAATTGCCCCCCGTAGGTGAGATTGGGCCTGATTGTGGGCCCCCTATTTTCGAGCCAGATCTGTGCTGTCCATTGTGTTTCTGGGGTTCCTTCTGAAGTCAATTGGTTTCGTGGTCATTAAGAGTTTGTGTGAATAGATGTCAATTGAAGCTGAATGCCCAGTTTCTCTGATGTAACAAGGTGTAGAGCTGGATGAACACAGCAGGCCAAACAGCATCATAGGAGCAGGAAGGCTGACCTTGTTATCTCAGATTCTCCAGCATCTGCAGTTCCTACTATCTCTGCCCAGTTTCTCTGTAGGCTCCATACTGTCTCTGCTCTGTAGCCAGAAGTATAAAATCTGTCTCAGGCTAGAGCCTTGTTAGTGTCGGTTGATTGTTCTTTTAGAGTGGAGGTGTAAATTGGAATTCCAGGCTGTTTAATAATATCAGGCAGAAATCTCCATTCTGTTGGCTCTATTGTGTATTTGCTGCAGCTTGAGTCCAGGATTCTACCCAGTATTTTAGATATTCGAAAAGTCCAGGGTCTTGTCCAATATTTTAGATGATGGGGATTTTTGCTCGATCCTACACAGGCAAATACCTATGATATGATTAACTGCAAAAGATTAACTGTCTTTTACAAGACCACCGTTTTGCCTCATTCTGGAATTTAAATATTCTGCAAAGATTAAATAGCAGCCCATAATTTTCCATGTCCCTCTGCACGGGCCATCTGAGAAAATGTAGCACCTTGAATGTTCATGTACTCATGTGTCAGTGACTGTGGTTCAGATGCAGCAGAATTTCTGATTGCAGGGCATGTTAACAACATCAAAAGGAAGAATAACAGACCTGCAGGAGGGCCTTGCAAGTCTCTGTTTTTGAAAATCACATTGAAATTCTCAGGGACAATAAAAAAGTCTAGAGACAGACTCTCTCAAATGGGTGCTAATAACATTCTTATCAAGGTTTTTGTTCTTTGTTGACTTTGCTTTCACTTACTCAATATCATGCCATCCAACCATCTATTCAAGCACTATGAGAAAACAAGGTGTAGAGCTGGATGAACACAGCAGGCCAAGCAGCATTAGAGGAGCAGGAGGCTGCTTGGCCTGCTGTGTTCGTTGAGGCATATATATTTCAACAAAAGTCTTGCAGCTGGTTCTTGTTAGTATATGTCTTCTGAATTAGAATTGCAGCTGTAAATTCATGTGACAACCTCAGTGCCACTCATTCCGTTTAGAACAAGCAAGAATACATGCAAACCACTCTGATGGAATTTGAATTATGAACTTGAAGAGGAAGCACTGGAGAAAGCATTGTGCTGGAGTAAGTGGAGGAAGCAGTTAAACTCATCTATTTGATTGGCAGGATTATTTGGTATGGTATGTCACCTTGTTAACTAATGACATATCCTGAGCTAGTTCAGAATGCATCTCCTTGGGTTCAAATTATAATTCATTTCAGGAAGATGTCCCTAATGCCAATTGGATATCCTTCCAATTCACATGCCCACCCCTTTCCTCCTTACTTTTTCAAAAAAGCTGTTTAGAAATAGCCTTTGCGCTCTGGCTTGCTCCTACCATTGCCTACCACCTATCACCATCATTCTGCCTCCACCCCGTTCCCCACTTTATCTGCAGCTTTCCCTACCCCCACATCTAGTCCTGAAGAAGGGTAATACTCAAAACGTTGACTGCTCCTTTCCTCCAGATGCTGCCTGGCCTGCTGTGTTCTTCCAGCCTCCTGTTTGTCTACTTTGGATTGCAGCCCTCTGTAGTATTTTTTGTCTCAAAGGAATCTGAACAAAACTAGTGATGCAGACACAGCACAACAGCAACTTTTTGTAGCGCCATCAACTCAGTAAAGTGCACCAAAGTGCTCTGTAGGAGTGTTAGCAGATAAAACGTGAAACCAAGCACATAAGGAGATGTCAGAAAAGGCTTCGTCAAAGAGATTTTTTTAAGGAATCTCATAAAAGTAGGGGAGAGAGAGTTTTATAGAGGAAATTTCAAAAGTTAGAGCATCAACAGCTGAAGGCTTGATAATAGATGATGGAGTGGTGAAAATGAAGGATATGCATGAGGACCATAAGATATAAGAGCAGAATTAGGCCATTCGGCCCATCAAATCTGCTCCACCATTCAATCATAGCTGATTTGGCCAGAATTGAATGAGTTTATAGAGATTATAGGAACAGTAATGCTCAGGAGATAACTGCCTTGTGATGGAAAAATATTCTAGTGTTTTGATTGCAGCTGACAAAAGCCGGTAGCCTGCTTCCACAGATTGCAAGTTTCTCCCACCAATTAGTGTGCCAGGGAAACGCTTCAGCACGAAAACAGTTCAGAGAGAGATCTGTAATAGGATGAGTAAAGGGAGTACAACAACATTAGTTAAATACCTCAAGGGATGGTAAGTCAAAGTGAATTGACAATGAAACAAGTATAGAGTCATTGGTTTGAGAGGAGACGTAAATGGATAAAAGAGGAAAGCAAAGCAGGAGGGAAACATAGAAATGGGAAAGGCTCCTGTGACCCAGGAATAGGAGAGAGTAATGCTAAATTGACACTTTGTCAATTCGAAAGTTTCAATGGAATGCCTTTGTTATGCATTTCGAGTAAGGAAAGTGGCAGCACATGGAGGTTATTTGTTGAAGGAACAATGGCGATGATGTATAGTACACACTTGAAACAGCCACTGAAAGCCCTCTGACAGACAGCAAACCTTCTAAATGCTACTGCATACATTAGAAGCCAACAGGGATTAAGATAAATGCAGGCAACATGTGGTGTTGACTGTCACCTTTATCCATCCTGTTAATCCATACTGATAATTATCAGTTTTTGTCAATAAAGAATGCATGCCATTTATCCAGCAAGTCTTCACAGTATACAACATAATGTCCATCCAATTCAAATTAACACTACAGTTAATGCTGCGGTATGGACAGACCCTTCATCCTCTGTACTCCTTTACTCAAACTTGTAAGACCTTCTGACTTAGCTGAGTATGAATGATTTTTTTTGTGTTATTGGCACTTATATGAAATGTTCTTTATGAATCTAAGCAGAGAATGAAATATTGGGGGTGTCAATGTGATCTGTGATAGATAACTTTACTCCTGTCTGCCTGACAGTTAACTATAAGCAAACCTGAATAAAATGATGTCTATGTGCTTGTCCTTTTCACATTATTCAGTCTCATGTGACTAATATCAGATGGTAAACGAGTGAAATAGCAGCGTGGACTAGGGTTTTTTTTATATTGCCTGCTTATCACTAAAACATGTCATGTAGCTGCTGAGCTGTAAAATATTGATCGCTCTCAGAAAGGTATGGCTGCCCATGTTTGCTGCATTAATGAATGTTCCCTGTGTTTGTCTTATTACTGTTGGCTTGTAATGTGTACAGTAGCATT